CGATCTGGCGGGTGGAAGGGCAGGTTTGGTTGTGGTGCACGTCAGGCTGCAGATGTCACTGGTGTTGTGACATCCACCGACCAGCTCGATATCTTATCAATGTTGCAAGAGGAAAGATAAAAGTTATCTGAAAAAAAGAAACGTTTGCATTTCACCGGATTTTTTTTATCGTATCATGCTTCTCTCTCAGACAATAATGAATGGGCGTCATAGTTGTTATCTTTTCCGCAGGTACAACAACATATTTTTCATGATTGACACGTGTCAGGCGGCGTCGATGTACGAAAAGTTTTACTCTCCCAACATCCTGGCGGTGGCCAGCAGCCAGGTCGGCGAGGACTCGCTCTCGGTGAGACTGCGGAGACCCCTCTCCCCTTCCTCTCTCCCGTGATCTCTAACTCGACGTCCAGCGCATACTTGATGGAAACGTCTCTACTCTCTATTGGAGCTATGATAGCGATCACCTGATGACACTAGATCCCTGGACTTATAAGTTATAACAGATGTGTCCTCAAAAGCTCCCCTACTGTTGTTCGGTGCCATGACTCTCCAGTCTCCATGTTGGCGACTCCAGCTGGGTTATTGGTCAGGCGTTGTCGTCTCGTGGCTGATGCGTCTTGTAACTGTAGTCACGGTATGTATTGAACAGTGGCGACTTGACTGACGCCCGTCGCCCCGCTCTCCGCGACAGCACCACCTGGACTCCTCTTTGGGCGTGTATGTCATCGACAAATACACCTACCACGCCCTCGACTTCATGGAAAAACTGAGAAAGGACAGCAAAAAGTCCATGGCCGACTTCGTAAGTGCATCACTGTTGACAGTCCAATGGACAGGTAATCTGCTGTCTGAACGCTCGGTTTAGTATGCCTTGACTTAGAGTCGTGCTATCTTTTGATAACTATCTCTTGATATTACACCTTAGCATGTTTACGTAACTCCCATTGCAAAGTTGTGACTGTCTCCCGTCCTGAGCTTCCCCAGTTTCGGTGCCTGACTGACGTGATCTGACCGTTCCGTTTCCCCAGCTGCGGGTATGCCCGCGGCACCAGTGCGTCTCTACGGTGGGCGTCCGCAGTGACCTGTTTCCGCGGAACCCGGCCGATGTGCGCGTCACAGAGTTTTTCGGCTCCGTCCGTCACGTGGAGCGTACCGATCGGCTGGTGGACCTGGGAGACGGTGACACGGAGACGCCGGTAACAGTCGGAACCCGGTCAGTGGCGGCAGTGTGGCCGCAGAGAGGAAGGGGGAGGGGGAATTCCGGGGAGATATGCATATCTACATATAGTAGATGTATGTGTGCCGTAGGGGAGTGCAGCTAACAGACCAAAATATCCATCATATTTACCGGTTGATTGTAGAAATTAGGGTATTTATTAGCATTAACGACGTAATATTGTGAGATAGTCGCATGCATATAATTTCGCCCGCGGTCTGGTATTATGTAACAGCTGGAGGCGTTGAAAAGTTTAATTTTAATTTAATAATTTTATTTTAATTTTAATTTTTTATAAATTTTAATTAAATTAATTAAAATTTATATTATGTAATTAAATTATTTTTTATAAATTTTAATTAAAATTAATTTTTTAAAATTAATTTTTAATTTAATTTTAATTTAATTTTTAATTTGGAAAGTTAAGTTTAATTTTTAATTTACACGTTGTTACGTGACGTCTTATGCCCATTCGTCACCACTGCTCTGACCTGCTGCAACTGCTCCGTTTCAGGGTGGAGACGGCAGCTCCGGCACCTGCCGGGTCGTACCGATACGTGGCCCAGTTTCCCGTCATGTCGTGAGTGTTGTGCCGGTCCCAGCTCAGGGAACGGTGGCCACAGCGGGACAGACTGGAGCCGGGGTGGCACAGGTAGGGTCCGGAGCCTGAGACTTCGCCGGATTCTAGGCGACCCAGCCGCTCTGAGACCCCATGATGGGGACCCGTGAGGGTACGACACTGACGGTGACTTGGAGTGTCCACTGTCCAGCGGAAAGGGAGCTCCGTGGTCAGGGTTGGCGCCTTGTCCCGCGCTAAAGTGGCCTAAGGACCAGGCCGGGAGGGCCGGGACAAAGGTGGTCAGTGGAGGACCGGTGTCTGGGGACTGCAGTACCGGCCCGGCGTAACACACCTCTCGCCCGTCCGTCGGATGCCATGGACACCTCCCAGTCCCCAGGCATGGCCGTTTCTTCGCTGTACAGTGCCACACTGCGATACAGTCAGACCAAGTGTCAGCTACTGTGATACGGCCGTGTTCACTCGAAGTCGATCAATGGTTTGTGCTCACTGATAGTTTGGTGCTGCCCAGACTGGGCAGTAGCGGAGGGGTGGAGACCATCTTGGGTGAATTTCTAGCTGGTGTTCTCATTCAAATTGTGCCCAAATGTTCGTAATCATTTATGGATAATCAATCATGTCAGATGTCGCTGTAAATCCTACTTTAGTTTCATTTGTATTGCCATATTGCATTTTCACCACTCACGCTCTTATTATGGCGTTGTCCGAGTCATTGTCTTTGCTGAAAGACTTCATAGGCGAGCACCGACCCGCACTGTAATCCACCATATTGTTCGTACGTGTATGTCCTGTCTGTCATATGCTCTGGTCTTCTAGTCGGTGTGGAATAATAGATCGCACTTGCTCGGTGCTGATGGGAAATCTTGAAGTATTTAATTTTGATTTGAAACCCGTGCTTTGATCAACCTTGGTTTGGTGTAATAATGTCCTATTATTTCGTGGTTCCGCCATTTGCGACCGTCCGCTCTTGCTGGGTGATTACACTGGGTTGCACTGATCAGGTAACCGAAGTTTCCTGAATCTAAGCTGCCGGATGAAGTGGAGCTATTCGCTGGCTCGCTCCAAGTTCATTCTGAACATCATAGGTTATTTTTCGAATTCCCTTCCGATCCCGCGGGTCATTGCGAGATGCAAAGTAACCTGCTCTACGGCTTTGACGTTCACTCGTTCATCTCTGGCATGTTGAGTGATTCATTAGCACTTTTTGACCGTCGCTTTCTGTGTCAAGTACCGCCGGTAAGTGTATTGGCCGGGGCCTGTGGTCTACATGTGGGGCGTTCCACGACAAATCGACAAGTGCCCTGCACCCTCATATTTTATTTTTTGCTTAGAATTGGTCTAATGGGTTGTGATGGGCGGGGAAGCCAGCTGTGGCAAGGATTTTTTTCTTCGAACAACGGTTTCCGAGATATAGCCTCGGGCAATTCTTGGAGTTCGCGCTGCAGCCCTATGTTTGGCGGCCTATAACTCAGAAACTATTGGCTTTTTACGATAAAAACTTTATATGGTTCAACTCACAATCAACCAACAAACATTTAAGCTATCTCGGATTTTCAATTTTTGAAAATTTTGATCACGTGACCTTTTGTCCTATTTCTCGAAGAGTGACGTTGATATTTTCCCCACTGAAAGTTGCAATTTTGTCTGATCACGATTAAAGCCTTATCAATTGTCATTCATATGCGATAATAAAAAAAGTGGTTATCGCCCTGAGTTGACTTCAGGTAAGGTCATTTTTATGACCTGTCCATTATTACGAGCGGGAGCGACAGCGAGATCTCGAGAATAAAGCAAGATAGCGACAAGCGGTAAACGGTAAAGGGTACACACGGATAAGGTCTATCATTTTTACTGAGGTCATTTTCAGGTCAGGTCAAAGATGACGTCACAGGAGCTAAAAGGAAGTCAAAATAGCGGCACTATACATATATATGAAGTTTTTCTCGAATAACTTTCAAGGTATCCCAGCTAGGAACAAACTAATAGCACCATCGTGATTCTCTCGTCGATCCGCATCGAAACATATGTTTGTTGACCTCGAAAGGTCGAAAGGTCAAAGGTTTACCTTAGGTCACGTGATCTAAGGTCAACTTTTGACCTTTCGACCTTTCGAGGTCAACATCCATATGTTTCGATGCGGATCGACGAGAGGATCACGATGGTGCTATTAGTTTGTTCCTAGCTGGGATACCTTGAAAGTTATTTGAGAAAAACTTCATATATATGTATAGTGCCGCATTTTGACTTCCTTTTAGCTCCTGTGACGTCATCTTTGACCTGACCTGAAAATGACCTCAGTAAAAATTATAGACCTTATCCGTGTGTACCCTTTACCATTTACCGCTTGTCGCTATCTTGCTTTATTCTCGAGATCTCGCTGTCGCTCCCGCTCGTAATAATGGACAGGTCATAAAAATGACCTGACCTGAGGCCAACGCAGGGCGATAACCACTTTTTTTATTATCGCATATGAATGACAATCGATAAGGTTTTAATCGTCATCAGACAAAATTGCAACTTTCAGTGGGGAAAATATCAAGGTCACTCTTCGAAAAATAGGACAAAAGGTCACGTGATCAAAATTTTCAAAAATTGAAAATCCGAGATAGCCAAAATGTTTGTTGGCTGATTGTGAGTTGAACCATATAAAGTTTTTATCATAAAAAGACAATAGTTTCTGAGTTATAGGCCGCCAAACATAGGGCTGCAGCGCGAAATCCAGGAATTGCCCGAGGCTATATCTCGGAAACCGTTGTTCGAAGAAAAAAATCCTTGCCACAGCTGGCTTCCCCGCCCATCACAACCCCATACACCAGTTTTCAACGAAGAATAAAATATGAGGGTGCAAATTTAATTTTTCATTTGTCGATTTGTCGTGGAACGCCCCATGTGTCTATTGGCCGGGCTTAGTGCCCTTTGTATACGTGTCTATGTATTCGGTCGGGCTCGGTACCGCCGCCGGGCGCGGTACATACCAGTGGGCCGGCCACAGGGCCATGGGCGCGGCCGTGCGCCGGGTTAATTGTCCTGCCGACCCTGGCCAGCGGTGACGTCACCAAGGTCGGTGGAATCTGGGGCAGCGTCGGCCGGCCGCACTGACCATGGTCCCTAACGGACCGCCCGGCCCGGCGGCGATGGTATCTCCCCCGGCCGGTCGGACGGGCACGTGCCCACAGCACCCCGCAGGGGGTCGGTAACAGAACCCGGTCCACTCGGAGCAGCGTGTATTCCACACCGATCTATCCATTCATTCGAGTTGGCACGAACGACCGATCACGAATTGGCTCAAAGATGATCACACACCAGTATATAAATAGCATTCACTCACCAGTCACACCGGCACATTCCAAGCACTCTCCCTTTCTCGCTACTCTCCATCTAACTCTGTCGACACTCGGACCACCCACCACTCCTCCCTCACTCTCCCAACACTCTTAACTCATTCTCCGGAGCACAGCTGACAGCAGTCGCTGGTCACCACTCATTCACTACTGACGACGGTAGTCACGCCTCGCGCCGAAGCCCGGGCCGTACGTGTACTGCGGCTGGGCATACTGGGGCTCCGGGGCGTAGCGCTGGGGCTGCGGGGCGTACCGCTGGGGCTGCGGGGCGTACCGCTGGGGCTGAGGAGCGTACTGGGGCTCCGGGGCGTAGCGCTGCGGGGCGTACTGGGGCTCGGGGGCGTACTGCGGCTGCGGGCCGTACTTCTGCTCGGCCTTCTTCTTGGCCTCCTCCTCAGGAGTTGGCAGGTACGGGTTCTTGTACGGGTCCAGGTTGACGCTGTGGAATGGAGAGAAGGGGACAGTGTGATAGAGGGGTTGCGTAGAATCAGTGGCCATCCCAGGCCTGGGCGCACACCGCACTGCATGGGTGCATATGGCACGACTTGACAGCATAGTAGGGAATAACTAATTCATACTGACGCAACTTGTCGCAGCATGACAGCGTAAGCTATTCATTACTTCCGGTTTATTGGTGTCTCCCGCCTTTTTATCTAAGCTACAAAGCCTCTCCAGGCGGGAAATCGTACTTCAAGATAACATCAGTAGTCATGCCGTTCCTGTGTCATAACTAGAGCAATGAATTACTTCAACTCTCACTCTCTCCACAAAAAGTCGCAGTAGCCGGCGCTGTTCGTTCATCCAGCGAACCGAACCGACCGCGATATGATCGTTTTCACCGCCGCGGCCCACCCTGCCGCACTGTGCCGCTGCGCCCCTCGGTTCGACGGCCGCAGCCCCGTCCCTATGACTTACTCGTACTGCTTGGCGGCGCTGGCACAGTCGACGTTGTACCACCAGTCGCACGTCAGCTCGTACTGGTTGAAGATGGTGCCGTTGGTGCAGAGGAAGTCGGCGCCCGTGTAGCCGTGACGGTTGTCCTCCTCGCAGATGTGGTACGCCTGTCGGAGTTGGGTTAGGTCAAGTAGCATCCGTGGTCAGGGGGTTTATCAAGTTACTCCGCTACTCCGCACTCAAAACTTTTTTACTACGTCCTGGAGGGTTCATTTTCATCAAACCCGCAAGATAAGAGTATATTGAAAGGGTAACTCGCTGCTACCATTATGTGCATAGTAACGGTACGTGGTTAATATGAACTTATTCGCCAGCGAAGAGTATTATTACCATGTAAATATCAATATTACTCTCGCGATCCAGAACATCATGAAAACTCTTTCCTTCTGGGTATCGTGACTCGTGTACAGATAGTCGTTTCATGCGTGGATCTTGTTTACCCTCGTGAAGATGATATTTGAAATGGAACCAATCAGCCAATCAGAAACAAGATCGGCCGTTTGCGGTTTGAAGGCCGCGCGCATCTGTCAGTTTTCGGCCGTTGGTCTCCGAGAGCGGATGTGAGCTGTGTCGGTGCCGCGCGGCGTGGCCGTTGGTGATTGTGCTTGTGTGTTGTTCATCGCCATATACATAGAGCCTCTATGGACATTTTGTTGTAAGTACCGATGTGCTAGAGCATTGCGTGCCGTTGAGTGGTGCTAATTTGACCTGGTTAACAGGACCCCGTGCACGGCCACGTGGCCTAGGTTGTGAGTACGTACATTAATTTTGTTGTGATGCTACAAGTTTATGCATTTTGTTGTTGACTTTGAAAAAGCCTTGCACTGTAGTGATCCAGTCTCATTATCTCACGCAGACGGGCGACCACCCAGGAACGCCGTCGCTCTCTTCAAATATTGTGCGCTGTGCCTTATCCAATATGAGGGCGCTGAATGTCTTGTATTCACATTCAAAATGCATTCAAGTTGTATCGTGGTGTTTATTGACCGTTTGTGCATTGCTGAACGCTTCGTATAAATTCGTATGCATAAGTGAAGAGTCTCACAATGTTCATGGCTGGTGTGCCCCTCGTATTGTTTGTACGGAAGCCAAATATACATTGTTGCTCTTGAAGCATGTTTTTTTAGTTGGTGAGCTCCGGTTAACAGAAGCTTCGTGAAGCTTCTGAAGCAAGCGTCTGTGAGTCTGTTACCATCCTCTGGGGGGTTCACACTAAAGGAAAGAGTAAACATTACCATGTGACAAAGGGTAGGCCAGAAGAATATACTCTCTGTAGGAGGGTAAAGCACAGAGTAGATGATGCGTTACTCCCTAGAAAAGGGTTCCGTTTAAGATTTACCCTTTCAAAGAGTGTAATCCAAAAAATGTTACACTCTAGACAAGAGTAAATCAAAAGAGTTTACCATTCAGAAGATGGTAAAAAACGTCTGTGTGTCATGTTACCCCTCCCTGGCGAGTTTACTCTTCATGAAAGAGTAAAATTTACCATCTGGAAGGTGGTAAAAAACGTCTGTGTGTCAAGCTACCATGCTATGGCGGGTTTACCCTTCAGGAAATGGTAAAAAAGTTTTCAGTGCGGCAAGGTCACGGAATGCAGCCCTCTCAGCCCAGCGGCTAGCGCGTGGCAGGCCCATGATGCGTCTCATAACCCATATCGATTCGGCTGGGCGCTGAGGCGAGACGCGCATGACCAGCGTTCACCGAACGGGATCAGTTCGATAGCCGGGCTGATTGGCATGTATCGGTAGACTGGTTGGGAGATGGAAAACGTGCACCGAGAGACTAGGCACTGATAGCTGGCCCCGATCCGACCCAGTGGGCTGAGGCCTTTCACTCTGCTGTGCAGATGAGCACCCGGAGAGCAACCTCGCATCTGACACTGACCTGACCGCTGACCCTGACATCTGACAGCTGACACTGACCTGACAGCCGGCTTCGACATCAGCGTACAGGCCGGGCCGGTACGGCACCGACTCGCACGTGAACTTGGTGTCGGGCACCTGCGGCACACGGAAACACACACTGGAGTCAATTCGGCTCGGATATGGGCATTTCTGGTGACAGATATGGGTTATCTGCTATACTCGTACATCAGGACAGACACGAGCTTTATTTGTCACGGAGAAAAAAGAAACATATTTATCGCTGCCACCCGAACCCACGGTCACTTACGGCGGCGTACACGGGGTAGTCCTTTCCGGGGTAGCCGGGGACCTTGCTCAGGTCCTGGACCGGCTCGGCGGGCGCGTAGCGCGACTCGGCGGCGTAGCTCTGCTCCGGGACGGGGTAGAGCAGCGGCCCGGCCGGCTGCAGCTTCTGAACCTGGGGACGGAGAGGGAGGAGTTACTTCAGGTGAACTCAGCTTCTGCTCCCGGGGGAGAGAGAGAGGGAAGGATGGGTCATTTAACGATAACCACAGCACTCCTGCAGCTTCTGCACCTGAGGGAAGGACGAAGGTGAAAGGGAGGGGGGATCAAGGTGTGGCTGCCCACTCATGCCCAGCATCCCTTCACGCACTTAGTCACTGATAGGCACTACAAAGAGGGCGTAAGCAGATACACGGCAACCTAAACCGCACACTGTCGCTCTATACCTGAGCTCTTGGCCAGAAAATGAACATGTTCATTAGGTCCACATGCATTGACTGCCTCCGATCCTCTAACACGCCTTCGGCCAACGATCCTGACCCAACCCGAGAAGCGCTCGTTTCGCCGGAGTCGTCCTCGCTCACCTGTTTACGCTCACGCGGCACGAACGGCTTGGGCTGGTACTTGGGCTTGGTGTCGACGACGACGGGTTCGACAACGGCCGGGCCGCTGTACGTCTGACCTGGGTCGAAGTAGACATCGTAGTCGGCCGGGTCGTCGACCTGGGGTTTGTCGGCGGGCCGGTACCGCGTCGGTACCTGGTCCCGGTACAGCGTGTCGCTGTTGACCACTGGAGGCAGGACGTGCTGCGCGCAACGGACACAGACGGGGGCGGGCTGTCACAGGTGAGACCGGAGCGGTAACAGACGGACACAGACACAGACAGGGGCGGGCTGGGCTGTCACAGGTGAAACCGGAGCGGTAACAGACGGACACAGACACAGACAGGGGCGGGCTGGGCTGTCACAGGTGAGACCGGAGCGGTAACAGACGGACACAGACACAGACAGGGGGCGGGCTGTCACAGGTGAGACCGGAGCGGTAACAGACGGACACAGACACAGACAGGGGCGGTTCCAGAATGGGGCGGAATGACCACAGAGAGGGGCAAGCTGTCACAGACTAGACCGCAGCGATTATGTATGTACATACAGACGGGGACAGTCACAGACAGTGATGATCTTAGAATGGAACGGAAATGGAATTATCTCATCTGGCCGAATAATATGACCGGGTCAGTCACAGAAGAGGACAGGCCAGATCATTCGGCCAGTCGCAGACGGGGATGGGGATGGTTTCAGATACGACAGAACGGTACAGCGATTATGACCGGGGGGCCGGGAGGGAGGGGCAGAACATTCACATATCGGTAAGAATGTGTCTTTGTCGATTTCCGAAGAGCTGGAAAGTGTTCAGATCGGCACAATTCTGGAAATAAAGAGCACCAGTCAAAAGTTATCGCTGAAACTGAGAGCACATTGCAGCTTCATTTGACATTTATCCTAACAGAGCATGATACTGTGGTCCCTATTTCTTACAGTCGCCAAGTTTTTCGCTTGGAGATCCTGAAACCTTGAAACTGGTAACATCGTGACTGGCATTTTATCTGCCATCAATTGCCTGCTGACAGCTCTGACCGTTCTGACGGTTGGGACATTATTTCTGCGTTTGGTGCAGTCTCACGCGCTGCACGGCTCAGTGGCTCCTTCTCCTGTGGCTGCCGTGTCACCAGTCTCCTCTGCAGGGCCCAAGGTCGGACCCTCACCAAGATCCGCCTGTTCCGTGAAGTTCCCACGGCTCATCCAGACTGGGTGTTCGCTATATAACCACTTTCAGGTAACACAACTATCGGTGTAACCGGGAGAACCGTGCCGAAACAGAGACTTCATTAGTCCTGGAGGATCTTCGGAGATTTCGCGACTCGGTTGGATGCAAACGATTCTCCAAAGAACAACCGAAAAACTAGTGCTAAAGCAATACTCCCGTAGCGTTGACTGCCATTACAAACGAACACGACTGCTCTCGTCCACAAGAAACTGCAATGGTACACAAACGATCAGCGTCTCTCATTTCTCAGAGACTGCGGCGAGTCGCAGGTAACCAACACCACCTTTTGTTCAGTGGAGACTGCAGGGACGCACAAGTAACTAACATAGCCTGTTTAGTAACTGCAGCGACGCACAAGTAACTAGCACCACTTTTTGTTCAGTGGAGACTGCAGCAATTCACAAATACCTAACTAGCGCCCCATTTTGTTTAGAAGACTACAGCGACGCACAGGCAAGTAACACCATTTCTCGTTCGAGACTGCAACGACACACAAGCAACTAGCACCACATCTCTTTCAATCGGAGACCGCAACGACCAATCAACCGCCTCATGTCCGGAGAGGTTAGGGACCTGGGGACGACCGATTGAGATGCTACCTTCCTCATATTTAGATGCAACTTCTTCGACGTATCTAATAGGTAGGTACGCTTGACTCTCAATAGAGGGAAACCGGCGATAAGGGACAAAGAACGCAAAAAAAATGTGCACGCTTAAAAGGTGCTAGTGTCATCGATCAAAAGAGGTAATTAATTAGACCTCAGTTTATGAAAGTGCCAGAAACATAGTATAATGATACCGAAAAGGGTCGGAGATGATACCTCATTGGGGGCAATACAGTGAAGCGCTTATTACTGGACCGTATTTCTGCAAGATGACGAATGTTTCAAGACGCAAGATGACGCAAGATGACGAATTGGGCCGAGCCGGGTTGCGCCTTCACTCTTCGCCGCAGAGCCGGAACGGTTCTTCACATCTGCCGCCTTTCTGACCCACAACTCTCCGTCAGGGGCGTCCGTCACGGAGGGATGGTTAGTCGGACAGATGACGGCTGTCTCCGGAATCTGGATGACTCGGACCGCCCTGTCGATAGCCGGTCAGATGACGGCTGACGGGGCTGCAGCCAGCTCAGGGGACCGGCTGCGCCAGTAACAGCCGCAGCTCAGGGGGACGGTCGAGAGCTGCGCCGACCCGGTCGCAGCTCAGTCGATCGGCTGCGAGCTGCGACAGCCCGGTCACAGCCGGCGCGGAGAAAGGCCGCGGGCTGCTCTGTCGCGGCTGCACCGATGCCGGGACGTCCCCGTGGCCGGCGGCGGGTCAATGGAGTGTGACCGGCGCTCCATCGGTCCCGTCCGGTCGGCACTGAGCCCTTCCTCGGCGAGAGGCGTGCGGCCGGCCGTGACGGACAAATGGCCCGGCAGTGCGCGCCGAGAGGGGCCGCTCCGGCCCGGACAGACTCTCCCTGTCCGGCCGACGTCCGGCTGACCCGCTAACGGGGGACACGACTGCACGAGACCATCCGGAAACATGTGAGGGGCTCGGACTCTATACAATACATATATGAGCATACACGCTCCTGGCTGCTTGGCACATGGCAGCACCAGAACAATGCATATGATCGATTAAAACGGAGTTGCACGGCTTTCACCTACATATTCTCATATTTGTGTTTTGTGTTGTTATTTGTGAGCAGTTACGAATTAGCTCAGCTTTATAATTTAAAGCAGGTTGCAAATTAATATCGCGTTTAAATCTCAGTAGAACGACTATAAGGGGATGCAGCTTATTACGCATGCTGGCAGCTTATGCGTTGTTGAGCTTTATACAGTATGTTTTATACGTCATAGATAATGCAACGTAATAAAAACTTTATTTATAATTTTTAATTAGTTTTATCGTTGGCGGAGCAGTCGCCTATTTACAATCGTTACACAGTTAGGTATGCATTATTTAGGTATAAACAGAAATGGTGTGAATTCGGAGAGGCATGCACTCCATCGATCAGATCATCAGATTGAACAAATTCTTTAGCTTTCATTATTATCTTAAAGGTAATCTTTTGTTAAATTGAGCATTTATTTTCTGTTTTGCATGCTGATTAAGAAATGTAGGATTAGTTTATAGGTATCATGCATGGCATTACTTACTTACCTCGAAGTTTGAAGGTGGATTTTATCCGTTTATTCTGTATTTATCTATTTACACGCTTGATGATTAATTGCGGAATTGTTCCACTTGGTTTACTGCAATTAGTTTATTTTTATCTAGATTTATTCATTTTTAAGCATGCAATCAGGGGCGGTCGCAGACTTGGAGTTTGGGGGGGGCAACTTGGCAAAGGGGCCCCTGCGCTGACCCGGGGGGCCCGGTGCTATCTTAACCCGCGCCGTGCTGGTGGCCTGAACTTTCCGCCGAGTGCTGGGGGGGGGGGGGGGGGGCGTTTTCACGCCCCCCGTCTAACTCGGCTCCTGGGCCACGTAGCGACACGCGGTAAGCGGCAATCGAAAGAGCGTCAAAAATAAGGACGAAAACACTTCGGTCATTTTTTGGGTCAGGTCAAAGGTCAGGTCACCAGAGGTCACCAAAGGTAAAATGTTGACTATTTCAACATTTTGGAAACTGCCAACGGCTATCTCGGGAACCGATAGAGCTACAGCGCCGCGGAAAAGCGCATTCGATAGCCCTTTTACAGACCTTTCTGAGTAATGTTCTCAGATTTGACCTCAGGTCAACGGTTTAGCCTCCAGAGGGCAAAAACTCCAAAAATAGCCGTTTTTACGAAAAACGTTTTTTCGTCAATAACTTTTGACTCATAAGCGCCATGACATTACTTTTGCCAGCATCGTGTTCCTCTCGTCAAGACGCGTCGAATGAACTATTTGTTGACCTTGAAAGGTCATTTTGAAAATTTGACCTCAGGTCAAGGTCATGACCTGACCGAAAAGGGTCATGTTGCATATCAGTCGATCCGTATCGTCGAGCTGAACACATCTGACGTGTTTTCACCGCTCTAGCACGTCTCTATCAAAAGTTATAGCCAAAAAACTGCTGGCGACCGTTCATGACCTGAGATGACCTCAGGGGCACACAGAGGGGTCACAGGTGCATTTTTCCTATTCAGTGTGTCATGTTTACCTATGAACCGATGTTTGAGAGCGTTTTGAACGATATTCGTCCAAAAGAGGCGCATTTCAATTTTCTCCCATTGACTTATAATGGAGAGGTCGCAAAATTGACCTGACCTTAGGTCACAGATATCAAAAATCCGAGATATACATTTTATACATACTGTTACTCATATCAATCGCTGAAAGTTTCAAAGTGATCGTTCAGTCGGTGTAGCTATAGCGAGCCTTTGAACTTTTTCTGAGGTAAGGTCACTTGACGTGACCTGGTGACCTGACCTTGAACGGCCTAGGTCTGAAATTTTCACAACATGTGCGGAAATGATGTAGGAACACGTGTACCAAAAACGGCGGCGCTGCGCGCCGCCGTTTTTGAGATATTCGCGAAAAAACCTGAGGGGGGCGTAAAAACGGCCCCCCCCCCCAGCACGGCGCGGGTTAAAGGGGCCCACGGGCGTAGTGCACGGGTGCAGAAATCTAGGCCATGGCCGGTGAAGCGGGGGGGGGGGTAGGGAGCGGCACCCGAGCGGAGGCTCATTGAGAGCTTTGAGGGTGCACCATGTCGAAAAGGTACCGAAAAGTGCATTTTGAAGCATTGATTATGTCAATAATTCACGCAACTGTGAATGGACTACCGCAAAAGTAAAGGCGGCTAACTTTGCAATTTTCTTTGCAAAAAAAAATTGCCATTTTTAAGATCATCGTGCTAAAACTTTTAACAGTGGCTCATCGGTATCTGTTCACACATGTGTTCCGACTTCCGTTTAATCTTTTTTTTCACTTGAGCACAAATGTAAGTTTTGAAGACCATTACAGCAGCAAATGCTTCGAAAGACGGATAGTGGGCAAAATAC